GTAAAAAAAGCAACAAGTAGGCTGTTGGTAGTACTGCAAGGTAGACTGAGCAATCTGGCAGAGACTGGACTGCAGAGCTGAGTTACTTGTACTGCTGGGGCTGATCAGTGGATGGCTTTCAGGTGAGCAGGCAGATTGGCAGCATGACTGATGAGACCACGCCCACAGACACACAGGGCCTTGTGGGTGATTCAGATTGCCACCTTAGATATGTGCCTGTTAAAATAAAATAAAAAACTCACATTAAATAAAAAATAATTTAAGTTTAAACATGGACGAGTGGTTTACAAAGTATTTTAACAGGTACTTCTTCCTGTTTTTGACAGTGTTTGTGTTTTTACATTTAAACTAAATGTTGTTTTCATCCCCCAGACAGGTATCATTACAGAAATTACCAAACCATTACAACAGTTTAATGGATACTACAAAGACACTGGAGGATAAAGTGTCCCATGGGCTACAGTAATGGCTCTAGTGTGATGAATATTTACATAGGGCCCCTTCCTGGTTATCAGTCATTTTAAGATAATCAAGTGTTAATCATTCAGTAGTAATCAATAATCAAGTGTTACTGCTGGATTGATGTGCTTAGCATTGGATAAGATGTCAGTTTGTGTGTGTGTGTGTGTGTGTGTGTGTGTGTGTGTGTTTACAGTATGATACTGTAAATGACAATAAAGTGATGATACATGAAAATACAGTCATGAATCTGTAAAAAAAAAATACAGTAATGATACTGTAAAAAACTTTTACAGTAACTTGATAGCATCCAGCTGCTAGTAAGTTTCGGTAAAATTTGCAGCAACTTTTTCACAGTGTATTTTTTCCTTATTTTTTTATGTGTGTTTACTGGTCTCCTATTAGGTAAAGTGATCCTTGTTTGTTTTTGTTCCATTGCTCAAACCTTCGATAAAATATTCATTAAATTTTTTGCTATACTGTGTGGTAAAGTTCATTATTTATTTATTTATTTATCACTTCAGGTCCTTTTTCAAGAGCTTTCAGCCACACCTCACAGTCTTCAGGAGTTTCCTCTGTTTTCAGTTGCTTCCTGTCACCATGGTTAATGTGAAACATTTTATGACAGTACTGGATTTACAAGATGTTTTGCTTTAATGTGATGATGTACTTTAATTTTTTTATGAATTTAATCACTGGTTTAGCCAAAATCAGGCACTCCTATTTATCGAAGTGATTTATCAGTTTGAGTTATACTTTATTCCTATTAAACTCCTTAATTGTTATTTAAGAATACTTCATACTGCCCACCCCTGTATATCAGTACCTTAAAAATATTCTTAATTTCCAGATATTTTTAGCCATATCACTCAGTCCTATTTCTTTTTTTCATTATTTTGCTCACTACCTTTACGTGTACAATTTATTATACTAAACAAATAGTGACATGTTACGAATCACTTGCAGATCGATGCAGGACAAACACATGTGTGCTCTTACCTACCTGGTTGCCTGGTTGTAATGTGCATGGTATCAGTAACTCAAGCCTTTATGCACAGCTCAGGAAAATAAAACAATATTTATGAATAAATACCAATATTAGAAAATGTGGGAAACTAAACTTCTGGTTTGCATCACATCTGTACTACTTATAGCCTTCATTAGTATGATAGATCAAGTGCTGTTGGTGCATGCTGTACTTTTCCCAACAGCTGTAGTCATTGTATGCCATGACACTGAGGCACGTTCAATTTTAATGTATAAATGAGGAGGATATGCACAATCTACAGTCTGTTGTGTCTTTGTATTGTAGTTAAGATAGGGTCTTGGGATTTTAAAGGAGTAGTTCAGATTTTTTGAAGTGGGGTTGTATTGTGTAGTTATCCATAGCCTCTGTGTTTGAATGCAGCCTGCTTCTCCAAACTGGGGGCGTGCCGACTGCCATTTACTGTATGTAATACACTGACAATGTATAGGCACCCCATACAACCCTACTGCAAAAAATCCAAACTATCCCTTTAAGTACTCATTACTCCAACACAGTGTTAAAGTATATTGTATATAGTAGCCTATATATTGCATCTTGGGTCCCAACATAACCAAGAAGACACACTGGCACTAAGTCGTATATCTGCAAGTATTTAATCATAAACATCTGACATCTTTTCTCCAAGAATAACATGTTGCATTTTACATGTTGCATGTAATATATTTCCACAAATACAAGTTGAAGTAGTCTAAAAAAAAGAAAAAGAGTTCTTGAAAACAACACAGATACATTGTGTATCTAGAGCTTAGTCCAGAACATCATTCAGTACAACATACTGCCATTTCACACAGTGCACAGATTAACAACTGTTTTGAGTAGCATTTCGTATTACTAAGTTGCAAAAAACAAAAAAAAGAAAAAAGTAGCTAAAGTTCGTCCGATGATGGCCGTTCTGTTTAAGTCTCAAACAGGCAACTCTGGTCAAATGCTATACTTGTATGACGGTCAGTTGATCATTAACTTCATTGAAGTTGCAATAAAGGAAAGGAAAGAAGAGTGGGTCGCATGCAAAACTCTCGCTTGTCCCTTTTAAAGTCTGAGGGGGGAAAAGAAGAAATGGCATCTCCACTGGACTCTGTACAAAACAGTGAGAAAAGGACAGAATGACCAAGACATTATTATCTTCACAGAGGGAATATTTCAGACCATCTAGGATATCAAAGTTTTTATACAGCCCTCTAATGGTAACACATTAAATAAACGGCATATTCTCATGATTCTACCGATCTACAATTCTCTGAAAAACCTGGTATGTACAATGCAGTGGGCAATTATCAAGCCATCTGTTCGTTGAGATACTTTCTGTTATAAACACACACTATAAAATAAAAAATATCTTCAGTTTTGCTACAGGGAAATATAATCACTTTGCTCTCAATGTTTCCCTCAATTAACGACTTACACAGGTAAACTTAACTGCAAACAATCAGAGTGTATGTGTGGTCTTACATGGATGATTTTACAAGCTGCAAAACTTCCTCTGGAGCAAATGTTTGCATATAAACGGTCAAAGAAAAGAATAAAATGGCTGCATATACTGAAAATCTTTTCATCACATTAAAGGTAGTCATTGCAAGCATGGATGGATTATTGAACAGGTCTGCTGGGCACAGGCCCAGGGGCCCAAAGTGTCAGGGCCCCCCTGGCCTTCATCTGCACAATGTCCCTCAAATGAACACAGATTAACCAGGAAGAGACTCCAAAGGCCTTTATTTTTTAACACATAGATCGCACGATGGAGCACTACGAAGTCCCTTCTTTATGTCAACTTTGCATTTTTACACAGAATGAAACAACATTAGCCTCTAGTGTGACATACACATTGCCAGCACATTTATGAACAACTTGAGAATTGCAGGTGTGAATGCTGCATTTTGAAAAGCTGACTGGCTTTAAATGTTGACTAATACCATTAATGCATGAAATCTATGGACTATTTTAAGATTCCTGGTCTCAGTTAACACTGAGTTCAATGCGACAGTTGGTGGAGTTTCTCTTCTTCTCTTTCAGGCTCACTGTGCCAAACGTGTAAGTCGGATTGTTTCCATAGCAACATTCTTTGAAAGAGCACAAGTTTTACTCCATTTTGACCAAAATGATGTATGTGGAGTAAAAATTATGGGTGTGACAGTGAGCTAAAGAGAAAGGTTTAAGAAGCTCTCTGCACTCTGACAGCTGAGTCCCCCACTCTAACTCTGAACATTTTGTCCTATACACACCAATGTAAAAACCTGAGGAGGGCATTTCTACCATGCTTCAAAAAAAGTCTAAATATTTCAAAAAGTGTGAATGGGATTTTAGAGTTGAATACAAGCCAGTTTTTGGAGTTTCTACGTGAATGTATGAATGTAGAAATAGATTTTGAAAATGTTTGAAAAAACTTCCATTTGTATCAAATGTGGGCATTCCTCATTTAAATGGTGAAAATTTCTCAATAAACTGAATATTTTGGAAAGTTTTTTCATGATATGGATGATCAAAATACAAGCACACGTTCTAACTGAGCAGAACATTTTGATGTTCGGTTTCTTTGTTGAACAATGTGGAGGGATCGTGAAAAAAAGTGGGCAGAATTTTTACATAGAATAACATAAGGTGGGAATATTCTCCAGCATCCCTGCCCACTTGCAATGGTAATAACAATCATTTATCTTCCTTGTTACATGGCAGCTGATCTCACCCTCTCCTCAGAGAATAAGGAGCTCCCAGACCTCATTGTTTTCCCAATTTGCTGACATTTTCTGCCACTGTTCTTATTTTGAGTCAGCTGCTAACTACTGCTATTACCAGCTGCTTTTTAAATCTTCCGACGGTGGGTCACACATATAACATGTCTTTTTCAACCTCATAAGAGGTGCCATCCATAGTCCCATCCTGCCAGCTGCCCTTTTACATGGACATCATTTCAGCACTGTTACTACCTTTACTGCCAGCTTAAAGGTGAGACAACTCTGTCCCCCATTCTGCGATTGTACCTTTAATACAGAACAGCGAGGCAGCATAATGGCGTGGAATTGACCTTTTTAAGCCCCGCCCTTTGTGATGGTCCAACAAGCTGTCGGAATAAGCATGGAGAAGAAACATTATCATATTTTTGGAAAAATTAAATAGTGATTCCAGAGAGAAGCAGACAGAGGGGTCTACAAAATCAGCTTGAAGGTTTGGTTCTGGAACAGAAAAGAAATGTATATCTTTTTCCAGCCTCTCCAGATAACGAGTATCATTAATACACGATGTGCCCCAGACACAACATTTAGCTCCAAAGCCACAAAACCAGCCTGAAAATGAAGGAAATCTGAAACGATTGCATTAGAATCAATGGAGCACAGCTGTGTTGGTGCTGGACCCTGGTTGAGCCGGCCCTATGCTTCGCTATGATTGGCCAGTCTGCGTCTGGGGGCGGGACTTAGCAAAGGGAATGCAAAGGAACTGCAAAGAGACACAAAAACGACCAAAAAAGACGCAAAATAACTTGACACAAAAAGACTACAAAGCGCAGTAAAACAACAACAACAAAAAAGAAGAGGCAATACCAAACCACAAAGTCTGTGTGTCTTACTCCTACATAGAAGAGGTGATGGGGCCTTTTGCATATCTGTGCCCGGGGGCCCATTGTCTCATAATCCACCCATGATTTCAAGTGCAATTACAACTTAAAACAAACACATACGAGAGTAAACTAGCATAACTTAACACTGAACACCTCTCCAGTGTGTATGCTGTTTTCTCAATGCATGTAGCACCCTCTTGTGGTCAAATCCTCACACTACATCTTATGCATTCAAAGGTAGAAAGGTTTTGGGTGCAGGAGAGCTAATACCCACATACAAGGAAAACACAAAGGGGTGGATGAAGGCCAAATGTAATCAGTCATTGATTTGCCAGCCCTATGATCAATATCAGAGACAGTGCTTGGAAAATAACGTGAAACACAACATTGTTAAAAGTTTCAAGTCAGTGATGAAGTCATTCCCCGTCCTCTACATCAGACAACTGTACAAAGTCTGCAAGAAAAGATGATGCAATCTTCATTTCCAGCTCTCCTGGAAGTTTTGTGTTTAGTCTTTTCAACTGTTTGTCAATTGCAGAATTAGTAGTGGACAGGGTTTGCATTTGTTTACACCAAAGACACACTGAACTGAGCAGGAATTAGTGCTTTAGACAATGAACATTCAGGCCCACTGAGGGAAACCTTGACATTTGGACCTTCAGTCGGCTAATCCACGACACACTTGGCACCGCGTGGCAAAATGTTTCCACCTTTGTCCTTGAAACTGCTCTCAAATGGCTCGTTAGCATTTCTGGCAATGCTAATGTGAAACAGAGGAACATAGCTGCTTTAAAAATTGCAGGTTGATGTTCCCATTTATTTCAACAAAAGGAGACACATTTTGCCCAGTGTGTGCAGAGTGTTTGGTGATAACAGACTAATTTAAATTGTTTCTTTAACACCAGCAGCCTTTGCCTTGGTCGCCAGCCGTGCTGTCACAGAGTCCTTCCTCTTCCTCCAGAGCAGCAAGATTAATCTCGTCATTAATGGACGTCCGGAGAAGATCCAGGTCCTTTCTATTGGCTGCCAGCACCTGTTCAGCCAGTCGTGTAAAAGTCTGGGAGAGAAACAAAGCCACAGGATAAGATAACTTAGATAAGATCCATTGATATCTTCACCTGTAGGCCTCATAGCTCAGGGGTTAGAGCACTGGTCTTGTAAACCAGGGGTCGTGAGTTCAAATCTCACTGGGGCCTGTTTCCTTTAAAGAGTAGTGCCTCATTGCCTGTATTCAATAAAATTCTGTCTGTTCTAATTGGGTCTTCCCATGTTATAATCATGGCTAAATGCTGCTCTGCACATGGTCATAAAACGACATGAGTTTGGATCAGCTCACCTCTGTTATGTTTTGGTTGGTGAAGGCACTTGTCTCGAAGAAGTCCATTCCATAAGCCTTGGCCAGCTGCAAGACAGATAACAGTGACGCATTTCACTTCGCTGTTTTTGTCATTTTGAATTAGGAGCACAGACAACTGACTCCTTATTTCCTTCCACACAGGTGCAGCGTGCTCTGCTGCCTGTCTGCTTTTAATGGAAAATATGAGGCAATGTGAGGCAACAGGAGGTGAAACATTAGTCAGTCTTAGTCTGAGGTCTGCTCGGTGTGTCAGGGCCTACAGAGCAGACATGAGTGCCTGACTGGAACTGCACTAATTGTTTTTATACCAGTGTCCATGTCAAGCCCAAAGGGTGACACGGTTTGATGAACTTGGAGCCAAAGTTTCTACCAGAACCCAGATGGAATTCTGAGCCTGATTTTCTAACTGAAAATTATTCTAGAGATTACAAGCTTTTGGGCAACCTGGAGAAAGTACCTTTGTTCAATTCAACATTTATGGAGATAACCTAATTTGCTGTCTTGCTAACCTAATTTGCAATAACTATACAGTTACTGCCGGGAAGCAATTAGCCTAGCTTAGCATAAAGACGTAAAGCAGAGGAAGACAGTTAGCCCGGTTTTCTTCAAAGTTCAAAAATAAAATATCTAAAACTTTAATTACTGTCCCACAGCTGTATGCCTCTGCACACCAGTCAAGTTTCTCTTACAGTTTACATCTGAGTCTGTGAAAACATGGATACTTCACACATATCTTCTCCTGGGCAGCACAGAAGATCTATACAATCTGCACAGTTTCATGGTGGACACTCAAGATTAGTGTCACCAGTTCAGTATCTGACCAAATGTCTCCCCTTCTGTTCCTGAGATATGTTGTTAAATATTGGCCAGAGAAGTGTTTATGCAGAACATTATGATGTCAGATTGCAGTTGACCTTTGACCTCTTGGATATAAAGTGTCATCACTCCATCATTATATCCTATAAGACATTTGAGTTAAAACCCTTAAGGTGTTCTTGAGATATCGCATTTATGAGAATGAGATGGATGCAAGGTCACAGTGACCTTGACCTTGGACAACCAAAATCTAATCATTTTATTCTTCATTTGTGAACAGTGAAGTGAACATTTGTGCCAAATTTGAAGTAATTCGCTCACGGTGTTCTTGAGATTTTGCGTTCATGAGAATCAGACAGACAAGGTCACAGTGACCTTGACCTTGGATTTATGACCACCAAAATTGAATGAAGTCATTATTAGGTCCAAAGGGACATTTGTGCCAAATTTGAGGAAATTCCCTCACAGTGTTCTTGGGATATCGCGTTCACAAGAATGGGAGGGAGGGACAGACGAACAGACAGACGGACGGACGGACGGACAACCTGAAAACATAATGCCTCCAGCTACAGCTATCACAGATGGCGGATGGCGACAGTGACAAACAATATCATTGGGATCACTTTCAGAGCGATTTTATGATTGCTAGAAACACTGACAGCCAATCAAAATCCATCCGAATCAACAGGGTGTCAGTGTCAGCATGGCAGACGATATTGTGGAGAGACCCATCAAAGACACCATCAAAAAGAAGGACTTCCAGGATGCAATCAGGCTCACCCTCTGAATCAGTGCTAAGTGTTTTGTTGTTATTATAAAGAGGCTCTGCATGAAACTCAGAGCGTATGAGTTGCCCAGACAAAGTCCTTAACATGGACGTGGCTGAACTGGTGGCTAGCAGCTAACAGAGCTAACTCCATAAACAGCGCTAAAATAATGTCCTCAATAAAGTGGCCAGTGTTTGCAGCAGAATAACTGGCACTGCACAGGAAACTCTGCAGGATCTTTACAACATGCAGTTATATAAGAAAGCAGAATCCATCCTGTCTGATTGTTCCCATCCTTCACATCAACAGATTCACTTTCTGCCATCTGGAACCCTCCTCCGACTTCCTCTAGCTAAACCAACAGACTCAAACACTCCTTTATATACTCTGTCATCTCAAACTCTTGGAGGAAAACATAGTTGTTGTTTTTTATCTGTCATGTATATCTTTGTGCGTGTGTGTGTGTTTCAGACCTGTGTGTATATGACAACAGAGTGAAAAAAAATCCAATTTCTCCTCGGGGATTAATAAAGTATATCTAAGTGCTGTGCAAATGGATAACTGTTGTTTGTAACAGCACATAACTCTGTCTAAGACAACAAATTGACATTTTTATATTTGCAGATTAAACAAATAGGATACAACGTGTTAATTTATGAGCTTAAGAGGTGATGAAAGGCATCATTTTGAGCTAAGCTAACAGCCTCCAGCTCCAAAACTAATACAGACATCAAAGTGGCATCAATATCCTAATAATTTCTTACAGAACCCAAACTGAACCCACAATCTTCTGCTAAACTAATACAACAAAGACAACCAGCATAATAATAATGTACCCACCTTGATGCCTTGCTCTGTGGCCACCTGTCTCTTGTCCACCTCATCTGCTTTGTTCCCCACGAGGATCTTCCGGACCTTCTCCGGAGCGTACTGCAGGCGGTTGACATATGAATATAAAGGGAACGAGGGATATTTACAGATAAGGAAGAGGAATATAAAACAACATTAAAGAGACAGGAAGAGAGAGATTTCAAATGTCAAGAGATTGCAGAGGGGAGAAAACACAGCGCTCAGGAAATGAGACCTAGATTAAAAGTAAATGGGAAGTGTGCCAAGATCAATAGAGTGTATATTTGGAGGGACGCATAGAGGAAATTAGGTCCATAATGACTAAATTAATAGAATAAAATCATGTGGGAAATGACAGGGGGGAAGCAGGGCAGACGAGATGGCTTTATGAAGATTCAAAGATAATAAAAGAATGTGACTACAAGAGAAAGAAATGTCTATCAAATATTCATGAGTCCACATTTAAAAATAAGATGACAGGTATTGATGGAAAATGGAAAATAATAAACAGAGCAGTTTGGTTTTTATCACACCACGTCAGGCGTCTGCTCTTTGTCAACCCGAGGCCTCTGCTCAGTGAGGAGTTGTGTCAGTTTTGCCCTTTTTCTACACTGCGGAAGAAAACTGTCTGTTGATACTAAATCCCAAATCTGTGTGACTCACCTCGTCCACATCACTGGCCCACTTCATGATGTGCTGGAAGGATCGCTCACTCGTGATATCATACACCAGGAAGATTCCCTGAGGAGAGATGTTCCAGGATTAAAAAACAGACAACGCAGTTTACAGCATGTTGTGACACTTAAACGCAGAATTTTAAAATCAATACATTTAGAAACATTAATTTGATTCCTGTAAAGAATCCAGACCACCACTTAGAGAGCTGGCAGCCTCTGCCAACAATTCATTTTACATTGTGAGACTGGCTGGATGAGACATCTGCTGATTTTTATAGCACAAGACAGGAACAGGACACAATACCACTGACCAGTTTCTGGGAAATGGACAATTCAGTTTCAGTCTGTTTAACCTCTGTAACCTCTTTAACAACAGAAAGCAGAGGCAAAATAAAGCAGTGTCAGGGTGGTGGCTGTGTTTGGCCATGAAGAGCTACTCGTAACATCCTCACACTTACAACACAGTTGCTGTGAAATCCTCCCAATATTTTAGTGATAATTTAAAGCTGCTATATGTAGAAACTTTTTTTTTATAGTCAGTCATTTTTATTGTTTTCTTTTGAGCAGGAAAAAAAGCATCAAATGGGATACATCATATGGCCATATAAATCTGACAATGCTGAGACAAAATGAATAAATGACAATTAACAATGCTAAAAATGAAAATACGTAAATAAAAAATAAATAAATAAATATACATAAGTAAATGAAAAAAAAAAAAAAAAGAATACATAGAATTACAAAATTAAATACATAGTGCAGTGCCATTAAAATGTATACAGACAACAGAGCGACACTACCCAGAGGACTATAGAGCCAGTGTAGAGCAAGGCATACAAGTATTATTGCGATACACCTAATAGCAGATAAATTTATGGCTTAAAAAAAATAATCTCTTTTTCAAATTAACATAGAGTGCCTATGTTATGAGTACTTACAGAACACGTTAGGAGGGAGTTTCAGGATCAAGGGTATATTGCAGATCTGTTTTTTCAAGAAAACGTAAGAAAAGGCCCCAGATTTCATAAAATTCACCAAGCCTATGTTTAAGACTATAAGTCAGCTTCTCTAATGCCAGACATGATGATAATTCTTTAAGCCAATGACTAATAGGGGGACATGACATATTTTTCCAGTACATGGCAATGAGACGTTTTGGATGGCAAAGATTAATCAATTTGATTTCATGCGATTTTAAGGAAAGATTTTCAGGGTAGAGGCCTAAGATACAGAATTTAGGAGAGATAGGAATAGGTTTGGAAATGATTTGGGAAATTATATGTATTACTTCTTTCCAAAATGTTTGCATCTTCTCACATTCCCAGATGCAATGGAAGAGGGTGCCTTTATGAGTTTGACATTTCACACAAGTGTCTGGAATGTCTGGATTAAATTTATTCAGCTTTACTGGGGTAATATAGGTCCTCATTATCCAACTATATTGTATCAATTTAAGTCTAGAGTTAATTGAAAGGCTCTGGGCCTTTGAGCATATCTGACTCCACTCACCGTCCAGCACACATTCATGTAAATCCTCACTCCATGACCTCCTTTTTGAGTCAGATGACTCTCTAGAATGAGATGAGAATATATTGTAAAGTGTAGAGATCTGGCCTTTGCTTCGCTGATGCTGGGTTGCAAACCGTTCTAACACTGTTAAAGGGGGACAGTTAGATGAATGATTTAACTTAGAGTGTACAAAACTTTGCAGCTGTAGTTATTTAAAAAAAGTGAGACTGTCAAATGTTGAATTTATCTTTGATTTCGTTAAAAGACATAAGTGTATCACCATTATAAAGGTCTATAATCCCTCTTATCCCTTTGTGTGACCATTGTTTGAATCCTAAGTCATTCTTAACCAGGTTTGAACTCTGTGTTTCCCCAGATAGGTGCAAGGCAAGACAAAGGTGGGATGTCACCTACAGCATTATGAGCTTCATGCCATTCTATCAAGGTGTTTCTAACAAATGCATTTAGTGTGTTTTTCTTCAAATTCTTAAAAGAGTCAGTATATAAATAGTCTTGGGTGCCTATTTTTCCAAATGAATTTAGTAAGAGTTTTTTCATGTCTTGGAAGAATTTAGGAGG